CCAGGGATGAATGTGAAACACAACATAAGTTGCTCATGTGAAAGTTCACACTGAAGTTGAACAAAAAAGAGAAAGCCCATGAGAACCAAAATACAATATTGATTCTATCCTTACTGACTTTAAAACCAATCTCAAGAATAGAGCTACATATTTAACACTAATAACTATAGGCCAGATCAGTTTTAGGATAATATCAAGGATAACATCCATTACAAATACAGAAAATAAAGTACAGGAAAGTCTAAAGTGAGATATCAGAAAAGACTGTGAAATTTGCATCAAAATGTAGAGAGGTGAAAACAAATATAATCCAAAATATCAAAATCAAAATAGCAGAAATTCTAAACATGTTGGAGGCACCAAAAAGAAACAGAATAAGAAGAGATTGAAGAAAATCAGTAATACAGAACAGAAATAGTAGATTCATGTGGGATGGCATCAAATGAAACAACATACACATGATTGTAATTTCAGAATAGGAGGGTTAAAAAAAACACCAAAAACCACCCCCCAAAAAACAACAACAAACAAACAAAAAGAACCAACACAAACCAAACACAGGGAACACTATGGAAGAAAAAAATAGAAGAAAATCTTTCAGGTATCATGAAAAATAAGCAGTTCAGTAGACTGGATCCCAGAAATACTACATGGCCTCCATAAGATGACGACTAATAAACCAGACCACAAAATGAGCAGAAGACATGAAAAGACTCTTCATAAAGGAGGAAATTTAGATGTCCAGTAAACACATAATCCCTAACAGAGAACTGCAAATTAAAATAATGAGATACCATCTCACCCAGCAGCAAAAGTTCAGAGCAAATAATAATGTAAAAAAGGATGCAGAGAGAGTGTAACTCTTATGTACTGCTAATAGGATTATAGAATGGTACAACCACTCTGGAAGTCAGTTTGCTGTTTCCTGAGAAGGCTGAACATAGAAATTCCATATGATCCAGCTATTCCAATGCTAGTAACATACCACAAGGAAATCAGTACTGTGACATAAATGGACATATGTACACCTATGTACATAGCAGCATTGTTCACAATAGCAAGAAAATAGAAACAGACCAAATGTCCCTCAACAAATGAATGGACTGAGAAATTATGGTAAGTCGACCCAATGGAATACTATGCAGCACTAAGAATTGATGATTTCATGAAATACCATATAATTTAAGCCAATAAATTGGAGAAGAGCTATCTGTCCAACTGGAAGGGATTCACAGATATTCCTACCCCACCTCCCCCCAAAAAGGTGACCCAACAGATGGTAAAAATTATCAATCAAAATCATTAATATTACATGCAAATAAAATCTTGCTGCAGATTGTTTAAAAATTACAGGAATAGTGCCTTGAGAGAAATCCAAGTTGAATTCAGTAGACGCCATGCAACAAACATAATAGCTCATGTCAGATGACATCAGGGAATGTCCAAAAGTAGAGATTGGACAAAATCAGAGAATACCAGAAATGCTTACTTGTATTTTATTTACTTTGCAGATCATAACAAATTATGGCTAACTTTGAGAGGAATGGGAATCCGAGATCACTTAATTGTACATTTAGAACAAGAGAACACTGCCTGGTTTAAAATCAGGGAAGGTGTGTGTGTCAGGGTTGTATCCTTTCTCCATACCTATCAAATCTCTATGTTGAGAATAATTAGAGAAGCAGGATTATATGAAGAAGAATGGGCCATCAGGATTGGAGGAAAACTTATCAACAGTCTGCTGTACACATGTAACAATGTTGCTTGGAGAAAGTGAACAAGATTTAAAACACTTATTGCTGAAGATTAAAGACTTAAGCCTTCAATATGTGTTGTATCTCAGCATCAAGAAAATAAAAATCTCTACCAATAGGCCACATTATGAGATAGAAAAAAAAGATCAGAGTTGTAATTCATTTCATTTTACTTTTATTCAGAATCAACTCTCATGGCAGCGGCAGTTAAGATATCAGAAGATAGAGTGCAATGGAAAAATCTGCTCTCAAGGATGTATTAAAAGTTCTAAAGAACAATGATATAAATTTAAAGACTAATATATGCATAAACCAAGTCATGGCATTTTCAATTGTTTAGTATGTACCTGAAAGTTTCACAATAAATAAGGAAGGCCAAATAAGAATCTATGCATTTCAATTATGATATTGGCAAATGGTATTGAAAATAGCATCAAATACTTAAAAAGCACACACACCGAAACCCCTCCACCACCCACAAAAAAAAAAAATCTGTTTTGAAGAAAGTGCTCCTTAGATGCAAGAGTGGTGAAGCTGTGTCACACATAATTTCGAGTATGTTTTTAGGAGGGTTAAGAAAAGAGAAGGTGACCTGACAGACTTTTTTGCTCAGTGGTGACAATGGACTCAAGCATCCCAGAGATCAGGAGGACACACAGGATAGGTCAGTGCTCAGATCTGTTGTTCTTAGGGTTATTGTGACTTTTAGTTGACTTCACAGCACGTAATGCAACAGAGCAACAAAGTAGTGGAAGTCTTTTTAATGATTTAAAATCCCTATACTATCATTTCTTTCCTCTATCATGTTGGTTAAATGTTTGGCAAATCTGTGTTCAATTGTAAGCTCAAGTGCTTAATATTAATATGATCTTGTAGGTGGTATTTCAACCATCTAAATTTTGGTTTGTTATCTGTAAAATGAAGATGATAATAATAGCATTTCCCTTCTTGAGAAGCATAACTATGTATAAAATGTTCATTGCTTTGTACCATTGAGTCAGAATTGACCCATAGCTGACCCTCTGGAAGGTTTTCAGAGATAATTAATGGAACAGGAGGAGATCTCCCATCCTTCTCCCACAGAGCAGCTGGTGGAGTTAAATCATGTGCTTTAAGATCACAGAACAGCTTCTTGCCACTAGGCTACCAGTGCTTCCTAATTTTGTTTTTAAAGTGTCCATAACTAGGTACAAAAATCACATCTATTCTCAGATAAGATTATAAAAAGTAATGAAACCACATTTTGAATTGTCTGAGTTAGACTTTCAAGATTCTAAGGTAGCTCTCAAGCAACAAGATAGTCAGATAGGCAAAAATATGATGTTGTTTTGATGCCTTCAAGTCAAGCGTGACTCACAGCAACCCTATGAACAAAGGGCTTGAAGCCCCTCTACAACTATCAACATTTATCAAAGTTCAGAGGGTTTCTGGAGGCATGTTATTTAGGAAGTAGATGCCACCCCTGCTTCCAACAAGTCAGATAGGCAAAAATACTATGTAAAAGGGAAATTTCAGTCCACAGAGAATATGGAAAATATTCATTAAATGAGAGTTTAAGTCAACAAGGAAATATCCTTTAACCACATTGACTAGAAGTTGTCAGAAAATCCTTAGTAAAGAGAATCTGGAGATGAGTGAGATCAGCACTACTACTGAACAGCCGCTATAACTCATCTACTGTAGCTACTTATAACCTATCCACAATCAGATCACGACCTCATGAGTGGAAAGAAGTCTGGATTCCCCAGAAACCTGCTAGAACTGCAAAAAAACCCCCAAAAGCCCAGAAAATAAGTTTTCAAAGTTGGAATTGTGAGGTTTACATCATTGGTGTTACTTACTGTCACCATTTTTCACCATTAAAATATGAAAAATAAATTCATACTCATTAGAAGATGTTAGGCAATAATCGCCTGGTCTGAAAAAGGAAAGAAACATAGTTTCATGCAAAATTTCTTCTAATTCTGGATTTCATTCACTGATATAAAATCCCACAAGCCAGTAAATTCCTCTCCTATTCCTCAGATTCTAGCTAAAAGAAAGGCACCAGGTCTTTTGTTCATAGAGTCACTAGAAGTCATGCTTGACTTAACAACAATCATCATCAACAACAACATTCCTCAGATAGAGAGGGACAGAAAGTTGGCAGGTTTTAATTTTACCAAATAATGACGTATCAAAACTATCACAAAACATCATTTCCAATTCCCGCCAATTCCAAGAAAAAGCAAACTGATTCCCAAAACACAGGATAGACAAGGCTTCAGGTAGAAAAATATGAAAAACTCACTACATTGTTCCAGTTTCCTCATCTTGGCAGAGAACACTGGAATACAGCAAACTTTTTTTAAGTTACAATTTCTACATGGATCAGGTGGGTCCAGGATCTTGGATGAAGGTGTCTATACCCTCTAAATTAAACTAAAGAATTTTAGTTATATTACTTCTATGAAAATTAATATGGGCTCTTACTGGCTCAATGTGAAATATGGTCATCTCAGTAAATCCCTTATAAATTTACCCTCAATATTTGCAGACATATTTGTTTATATAAGTGTACTGACATCACTTGATTATTAAAGTAATGATTTGCAGTTCTTGACTTGCTACAAATAAGGTAAGTAAGCCTTTTATTTCATCTTTTTTTATAGCATAACTTTCTAGATGCTTAACCTGTTGAAGGAATTAGTTTCTTTGTAATCTTACAACTAAAGGAACATGTGGTATGTTGTGAGCCCTATATTTTATAATTAAATAAAATTGTGAGCTTCTGTTTATGTCATAATTATTTACAGATAATTCCTGCTATGATTTTATGTTTTCTTGATGAAGGTGAGCCTGGGACTTTTTATTTTATTTCAGGCCTATGTGAAAGTGTTTGATGCTGTGCTGACTGCTAAAAGAGAAATGAACAGGAGGTAGGTAGGCTGTGCACTTGAGGTTGGTAGAGTTCCATTCTAGAGGCCACATGATTTTAGCACAGTACCTTTCAGAGGCATATTCGATTTCTCACATGATAGAAATGTAATTAATGATTTTATGTCTCAACAGAGTAAACACTTCCTCTAACATGCTCTCCTTAGTGAGCATATAAACTTTTTCATTACTGTAAGTGGTAATACCCACTCTATTTATGTGACAGTTCTCCTCTCTAACAGATCACCAATACTAGCCCTATTACATCAGTTTCCTTAAAGCAGACTCTTAGCCTTATCCACCTCAGATGAAAACAATTTATCTACTTACTGTTGCAAGTCTTGTTGTATTTGCTGTTCTCCTGTGCAAACCCTTCTAGTCGGCATTGAAAACGATGTTGCCAAAATTCTTGAAACCAAGGATTTCGGAGGTTTGTTTCTGGCCTGAGCTTCAGATAGTAATCATCAAACCACTTGACATCAGGTGATTGGAGCTTGATGGTGATTCCACCCACAGCTTCTCGCTGATATCCATCTGTCACATCATACCTGTCAGCCCAGCCATCACTGTGGGGGAAACAAAACATCCCTTAGCTCTTAGCAGAAACTGTCTAATGCAGTGAGGTCATTTGCTCTCCTTTTGAGAAGGTTAATAATTACATGGTTACTTTACGTTGTACTATGGATTGCACAGCCCATGGAAGTGATTACTGTGATAGCAACTTGTAATAAGTACAAAAATGGTAACTTTCAGGATGAGATTGCTCTTAGAAGGCACACTCTCATCAGCACTTTCGGCATAATTTTCCCAGTTCCAAAATGGTAGGTGGAAATTACATAATATCATAATTATCATTATTTAATGAAAATTTTATGGCTAGAATAGTTTAACTATATAATTTTTCTTTATTAAGTACTAATTATAACCACCACCATAATGATCACAAATATCTCAACATTAATTTCATCAACCTATGACGTGATGTTCATTTTAATCTACATTTACAAGGAAATTATAAAGAAGCTTAAAAAATATATCCAATCTGCAGATTTTCATCCTTTTAAATGTTAATTTTCAGTGTCTTATATAAAAACTCTGTAGTCTATAATTGGTTTTTTTTTCTCATTTCTTTCTCATGATTTTTCTCAAACAAATTTAAAATGCACAATGTGAAGTCAGGTTTTACAACATAATGAATAGTTTACTGAAATGGACTTTTCTGTCATTCTACACACTGGGCACCTAAATAAATTTTTAAGGAAAAGCTTGAAATCAGAGTTTTCATGGTATAAGAGTTTGAGAAAATAAATAGGAAAAATCCTTAACTCGTCAGAAAAATGTACAAGATAAAATTTTTATATGTAAAATCTGTACTTAATGTTTACATTTTTCCTTTGAAGCAGTACAAATGCTCTCTAATGAGTGAATATTAGAGAAAGTCAGAGGAATTTTGGCAATAAAAAAGTTAACACCAAAGAGGGAAGAGAAGAGCAACTAGGACTGAATCCAAAGCAGGAGTGAGATAAGCTTCTAGTGAGGGAGGTGAGCAAAATGCTAACTTCCTCATAGGGTCTTTCTGACAGAATCTTTATGGAAGCAGAGGACAAGGTCTTTCTTCTGCAGAACCACTGGCTGGGTTTGAACCACAGTCCTTTCATAACCATTGCTCCATCAAAACCTCTTTAAAAGAATGTAAGTGGATTTCTATATCTTAACTCAATTGCATTTTTAGTCCTTAACATTTTCTGTAGGCAAAAACCATGTATGAATATTTCACATAAGATCTAGCGCTAGGAAATGTATTATATAAGCTATTAAATGAGTTTAATAGAAAATTGTTTACTTTTTTTTTAGCATGTTTTACTCTAACTTGATTATTTGGGGTCATTTCAAAAGTCACATATTACTCATTAAGATAGAACCTGGAGATTATTTCAGAGGTTTCCTTAGGAAGAAATGAGAAAAGAAAAACACAAAATATGTCTCCCCCAACCCCAGTGCCTCTTTACTAAGAAAAAGAGATAATTACACATTATGGATGTTTAAAAATCATCAATGGTGAAATTGGAAAATATTTCATACATACAAGAAAAAAATGTTAAATCTGTATGATTTGTCCCAATGTTGAATTGAGGTAACTTTGCATATTATCTTGCCTCAAGTTTCTTATTTTCAGCTTCAAAAGATTTTATTTAAAGCTGACAAGTTGCAATGAAGGAGGATTATTTGCCTCTTCTTCTTCCTCTGTTTTTGAGGGTTTATGATATCACTGATATGAGAGTGTAGGTCTCATTGGCACTTAAAGAGATGCATGGGTGTGCTGCAAATGGGACAGGAAGCTCTGTTTGTCAAGCAGAGCCTCATTCTCTCAGGAAGTGGGAATTAAAATGTCTTCTTTTGTTAATGCTAGCTCTTATATAATGCTATGATTATGAATATTACATAACAAATTTAAGATTATAATGAGTCCAATTTACCCTTCACAATTCATTCATTGAATTTTAGGCGGATTGGAAAAAAGTTTGTCTTGATTAAACTTTTTTTGCAGGTAAAATTTCCATAAAAGAAAATTTCCAGGGCTAGAGAGTGTTAATTTATTCATCTCTCAACATGTTCTTCCTCTTTTTTCCCCAGTATAAACCTCTTCCCTACATTTGAAGATTTAGGAAAATATATTAGTAGCCTTGCAAGTTCAGATAGTGAGTTTAAAACCTCTTTTGTCCTTAATATTTCCATTAAATGGTAAAGTAAAAATCATAAGAATATGGTGTGGGAACAGAAAATCCCAGTATCTCATGCAACAAAGCCCAATCATTCTATTTAACTTATTAGAGAAAACTTGTTATTGAAATTCCAACAAAAAGCCTTCTTTGCAGGCTAAGTTAGGTATTGTTTAACATCTTAAATGTATAAATATTACATTTTCATAAAATGTGCATTAGGATGATAGGACATTCTAAATGAGTAAGAATTTTAAAAGAAGAAATGCAAAGAAAAAGAGGATTATCTTTCTACTAATATTTTACATTGTCATAGCAGACTTTCACAATTGTTGCTCAACCCCAAACACCTTTAAGTGACTTGTGTTTTATTATATAAATGTGAGGGAGCAGGAAAAGAAACTAGCATTTACCAAATACCTACTATACCTTCTATCTATCTATCTATCTATCTATCTATCTATCTATCTATCTATCTATCTATCTCCAATTCTCTTTAAACAGCTCATTCTCAACACACATTTCATTCTCTGTCATGTTCTTTGATCTATCTCTTCATATGTTTCATTGATTTTATTCTACTTCTTTGATATAGCATTGATACATAATTTACTTAAATTTTGTTTTAGCCTGACATCAACTCTTTTTGGCCAAGAAATAGAACTTTCATTGCTATTAAATCAGAACTGACTCATAGCTGACTTTCCCAGGGGTTTCTGACACAATCACTCAGGAAGACATTGTCCAGCTTTTTCCTTAGGTGCTACTAGTATATTCAAACCACCACAGAGGCCTAGCCTTGGATTACAGTGTAAGTCCCTATGGACAATGCCAGCAGGAAAAGGAACCATGAAAGAGAATAACTCTTAAATAACTTTCTCATTTCACTTGGCTTAAATAAAGGAGAGGCTTTCTTCTGTGCCCATTCTCAGTACTCTTCCATAGTAAGTATTTTCTTGTGGTTGTTATACATTATCAAGTCAAACCAACTCATAGCTGACCCTTTAGTGAGTTTTCAGAGGCAATTAATCACACAGGAAGAAATAGTTAGCTTTGTTTGTCCCAGAAAGCTTGTGGATTAGAACCGAGTGCCTTTGGGTTGGCAATGCAAATCCTTGCTACTAAGGTACCAGAGCTCCTTAAGTATTTTATACTCCTTCAATTCTTTGGCACAGATATATTAAGAACATACTCATTTAACAAAAACATACTTTAATTTTCTTCTGGAAATTGTATAAACATTTACTTTTCTTATAATCTCTTCTTCAGTTTATGTCTCTCAACCTTCAATTCTTATTTCTCTTAATAATTTGTAACTCATGAAAGCTTAAATGCTTTTCAATAGATTAATATTTAAGGTCAAATTGATTCTGGAATTTTCCAACTAAAATTATTTTTCTATCTTTGTGTAACTTCATTCCCCTAATAGTATATTACATCTATACTTACCTTAGATGAAATTAATTTGGGGTGACAGAAAGTGTTTCTATGTATAGATAGATAGATAGATATAGATGAGATAGAGATAGAGGTATATAGATATAGATAGATAGATAGATAGATAGATATAGAGATACAGATACAGATATATAGATATATAGATACATAGGTATCAGTAACTTAGTATTTTAAAGAGAAAAATAATGCAATGGACCACATTTACTCTGTGTTAAAAGAATCCTGAAACTGAAACATAGAATGTATCTGAGCTACTACAGTCCAGGAGCACATAACCTAGTGAAGGAATTAAAAGGTATACACATGAATGACAATGAACACATAAGTACTGTGTTATAGGTATGTACCAAATTCTGTGGGAAAACAAATCAATAAATAATTAACTCTTTAGAGGAAGATATACTTGAAGAGATAATAGGATTTTGAAACATCACTTTCTGGCTAACTAGAAGATATTCGTGAACCAAGGAATAGCCAATGTTAAGCACTGTAACATTAGAGAGTAAGCAAAATAGTGAAGCTAAGCTGGGGAGCAGCATTTGAAAACGAGCTTTCATGGAATGCCAAAGGTTTTGGACTTTTATGTACAGGTAACGAATATCAAGTGTAGCTTTTATAGCAGAGAATAGTAAGATGAGATGATAAATAGACAAAATGTGAGTAACAGATCTAAGTGATTAGAAACAAGCTTTAGATAATCTAGTTTTAAAAAGGTATTGTTGTTATGTGCCACTGAGTCACTTGTGACTCGTCGTGACCCGATGTACAAGAGCCCTAAACCCTGCTCTGTCCTGTGCCAACCTCACAGTCTCCAACACACTTACTTCCACCACCCCAATCACAGAATCAGTCCATCTCATTGAGGGTCTTCCTCTCCTGTGCTGTCCCTCCACTCTCCCAAACATGATGTCCCTCTCCAAGGACTGGTTCCTCCTTGCAACATGCCCAAAGGATGTCAGACAAAGCTTCAGAATCCTTGACTCCAAGGAGCATTCTGGTTTCACCCTCTCTAGGTTAAACCTGTTTGTTCTCCTAGCAGTCCATGGTATATTCAGCACTCTTCTCCAGCACCACAATTCAAAGCATCAATTCTCTTTCTATCATCCCTAGTCACTGTTCAACTCTCCGAAGCATAGCACACAATTGCGAAGACTGTAGCCCGGATAAGGTGCAACTTAGTCTCCAGTCTGATATTGTTGCTTTCCAGTACTCTGGAGAGGTCCCGGACAGCAGACTTTCCCAATGCAATTTGTCTCTTAATTGCCTGGCTGCTGGTACCAAGAGTGTTGACTATGGAGCCAAGCAAACTAAGACTGTCAATCTCAATATCTTCACCATCTATACTGATGCTGCCAATTGGTCAAATGGTGAGACTTTGTAGTTCAATC